GCGCGTTTCCGTAACTGCGAGATACCGGAGATATATTCCAGAAATGATTTGAGTATACAAGACGGAGGCACTCGAAGCGTTTACTTTAATTTTCCCAACGTTCGTTTCGATTTCAAGATAAAACTTGATACGTGCGATATGTTTTCCTCTTTTTCCGGTTTTATCGAAGCTCGTAGCTGGCGAGTGTTAATCGGAGGTAGAAAATTTTCAATAAAAAGCCACGTTTATCGAGGATTCGAATAATTTCGTCACCGTGCGGAAAACAGTAATGGGAAACTTGTCAGCCATATAAAGCACACGCTATACGATAGAAAAAGTAAAGAAAAGCAAGGCCAATATTTGTGTGTTCGGATACTTCGAATGCTTGGAATTATTAAAAGCGCAATTCAATCGTCTCGTTTATCGCGTAACTATTGGATGTGTTTCTCGATTAGTTAGAAACATTGGATCTAAATTAATCGTGTCAATTGTCGCATGATTATTAAAACAGCGTGCATTCAGTGCACTTTGCAATGCACGCATTTTACAACAGATGTGCAAAGATAATTATAGGGTATTAATTGCATTTCTGTCCTATGAAGTTAATAATCACTTTTGAGAGTTATGTTCATTATGTTTCCATTATCGTGGATAATTACATACTATGGCTAATTATATAAAAAATTTTAGATTTTTCTAAAAATCTAAAATTTGTTCAAATTGCATTTTCCTAGCGGACTTTATTCTATCTACTTTTCCATATATTTTTTCACTGTGATGTTACTTTTATACTAAATACTCCTGCAACTTTTCTAATTACACGCTAATGTTTAATCTCAAAAACATAAACGAATCTGGATGCTCCATAATTGATTGCGCTGCTATCGAATATGCGTATTAAGCAGACCATGTTAAATTGCGAACGATACGAAACCGTTTAATTAATGCCTGCGCTGCAGTTTATTTACCGCAATTAAAATCGTTAAATGTGTTCTGCAAATTCATCCATTTAACATTGAACATACGATCCGTTATATATCAATTACATAGTAGCTAGCAATTCAATGTTTATTCGTAATGCCAAAATTAGAATGAGTGGTATACAGAGCAAACGATATGATAATTAATAACGAATTGGTGGATAATCAAATTTTTTTTTGAAAGAATTCAATAGAGTGTCAGATTCGTGCGTGGAGATTTAATATAGTCGAACTGTGAATGGACATGATCCATACCCATATCTATTATCGATCAGCTACCAGTAGCAATACACCGTACTTTACGGAGGGATCGATATGTCCATCGTGCTTTATGGAATGGCGATGCTCGTAAACGAAGGGATTAAAGGCGTAACCTCGCAGCAACGTCCCGGGTACACGGGCGAAGTCAATAAATTTCTAATTTCCTACCAGTGCCACTGTATACCTATCGCGAGCCGCAGTAAGCTTATGAATGGGCGGAGATTAATATAAAAATCGGGTCCCTCTCTCGGAACTGTATATCAGTGTATTATCCGCGATACGCGACGTCGTTTTACACTTTATAACACGACGCCGCGATATTGTTTCCCGCGGTATCGCGGTTATTTTCCGCCGCAGTTTTCGTGGTCGGCAACCGGATGAGAAATTCAGCAAATCGCGAAACGCAGTGCGGCAATTGGTCGGTTTTCATACAGAAGTATCAAACCTCTATATCAAAATGCAATGGAAATAGACTTTTGCAATTCTCTCGAGGAGAAAATAAACGCAATAACGCCTTGCATCAATATAATTGACAAAATAAAAGTAAGGATCAGAATAACTTAACGAGATAACTGACACTTTTACTTTTGCACAAAACACGAACCGGATATAAAATTAATCTATCATATATAATACTGCACAAAATAATGTAATATAATGTAATATAAGCTCGAATGTATTGCAACTTGGAACAAATTTGTCTGCCTCTATCGTTTTTATTTAACCGAATAAAAATTGCTATGTCGAAATCTGTCAAAATAAAATATACTGATTCATTTACAGAATCATGTTTCAGAAATGATATCAGTTTGTTTAGTCTCTATTCTCGAAATATATGTATAATTTAGAGCTCGATAAACTTTAATTGCAAATCAATCAATAGGATTGACCTACTTTATGTAAAATCAAATAAAAAAATCATCGAGTTAAAATAAAAAGTGGCATTTCATCCTTTTATATGAAAACCGCCGAATTATATTTCGTAAAATTGGCTTTGCATGTTACAAATCGGACTCGTTCGCGGCAGATGGTTAAGCAAATAACTATAATATATTCCATGCTATTTTATTACGGTCCCCCAAGCTATGCTCAGCATAGCGTGACGAATAGATAAATTCCTTAATGGAAACTTATTTTAAAGTTTTATTTATGTATAATGGGAAAACGCTGAAAATTCAGTGATAGGGTTTTAAATTAGGTATAACCTGTCGGATTCGTGCGCAATGACCATAACACGACGCGATGTTTTATGACAAAAACATTTCTGCGAAAAAAAAACGATTTATAATGAACGTGATATCGAGTGTGTAAAAATCATTTATCTTGCACTCAATATATTTCCATTCCGCCGCTAAGCATAAATTATATCGCAACGTATTGTCCAAAGTAATTAATTTTGAAATTGTTTATTTGCTGTTGCTTTTGGTTAATTATTTATTTTAAATATTTGAACAACAATATCATATCCATAAAGCTTCCGCGAAAGCAAAGCCGAATAAATTCAATCTACCGCCGAGCAGCGGGTACAATATTGATTGTTAAATGTGATAACAATTACAAGTTGTCTCCCCGACTTGATTCAAATCTGTATAGGACATATCTTTTAATTTGTACGTAAAAATATCTAATAGTATCACCATATTTACCGTATTTAAATTTAAGAAAACGCTTATAATTATGTATATTACAAATTAATTGTGTCTAGAATTCACACAAAAAAGAACTGTGAAAATTAATTCCGAACTACGCCTCTAAAAATTTAATTATGTTACGCTTATTTCCAATACTGCAATGTAACAAGCTGCAGACCGTCTTACTCCTATCACAATAGCCAGATATTGATTCTTTAACAATCACTTCATATAGCTTTTTGTGCAATTGATTGCACAGGCCTTCATCCATATTAATGCAGAAGCCACGATGCATGACCGATAATTGATTTTTCGGGTAATCGGCCGACCACGTTCTTCGGTGTATTCAATAACATATAATCCACATAAAAGCACGGGACCGATAGAAATATTTTAAATAAAGACATTATTGAATTCCCCGGATGCGCTATATATTGTATATATATATCCGGTGCATGAAATGCACGTGCCGTTTTATTATCGGCAATATGTGAATAAATAATCCAATAGTGATCCACTGAAATATTTCAAGAAATGCATAAAAAATTGAAACGCATAAACCTGCATTCAATTTGATATGAAAGATGGATAAGCTTTAACTTATCGATCGACCGCCAACAGGCGTTATAAAATTTCTCATATGAAATCTCTCGCGAAAATAACCCGGGTTGCAATCGCGTCGTGTTTACATCACCGTCGGCGCGCGTTCGTGCGTCGCTATAACTCACGAATGTTAAATTCCCGCGTACCGGAACCGAAGACCGATAAAAAATCGTCTTTACATTGATTAATAGCTGCCGTTTAGGTCGAAACGGCGTGTCGCGACGCGTCGAAAACAAAAAGATGATCAGTACTCTTAATTAATGAAATCGCTCGTAGCGCAGTGATACAATGCATCGTTGTTGTTACATCGTGATGCACCGCGTGATTAAATGAGTAGCCTAATACGAGTAGCGACAAACCGACGTCGCACCAGGAATGTTGTTCATTTTTGTATCGATTATATTTTAATAGGTCAAAGTTAATCTTGTCGGGAAAGAATTTCTTTCAATCATTTTTTAATTGCACAGACCGTATAAATTTCGTTGAAATATGTAAATTTATTGGAATTCTGTAAAAAATTCCAAGCGCCTAAATTGTCGCATATAATACCGATTATTCTGCAAATATGTGCACTTTATACATTTATATTTGTAATAACACGTACGCTTTTGTGTGATGATTTTAAATAAACGTAAAATTAAATAAAAAGACAAATATAAATTATATATTTTATATTATTTTATCAAGTTTTCAGCAATTTACGGTCGCACAACACGCTATACTGACAAAATATAATTGTATTTGTAAACTTTGAAAGTTAAGAAATTTTAGAAGAGAATTTTCAATAATCTTTTTTGACGCAAACAGTACGCCAATAAATTCAATATTTGTCACATGTCGCGACTTGCACGAGAAAATTATTTCGATAGTAAGAGAGACATAAACAGCGAGTGTGGGCACGGAATGTATAATCCTTTCTTTAAGTACGCTATATCCTCTTTTTTATTAAAGCAGGTATAAAGTCAGATTTATAGCTCGCATTACACGAGAGAGACGCGCGATAGCGGTGGTGTCCCTATTTACATTTGTATGTAATCCCGTCTTAAAATGTTGTGGAAGTGATTTAATGATCGAGACGTGCAGTATTAACGGCACCACCTTGATTTCAAAATCATCGACGTTTCTGTCAAACGACGCAGCAATATTATCATCGCAAATTTATGAGGTTCGTATAAGAACATTTACGGTACAATTGCGGATTATGTTATATTAATTATTGTCTTCCGATAATAGAACTTTATTATATCGTAAAATAACCATAATATCCATTTCAGTTTATTTTAACAATTAGTTGTTTATAAATCATAATTGAATACGCTTTTGGTAATAATAAGTCCATAAATGTGCGATAATAACATAATAGTATAACGAATTTTAAGCAATAAATACATGTAGAATAAGACAAGAAAAATAATGATGTAAATTATTTTCTCTACAATAATATTTTAACCCTTTTTAATGAAAATTATTATTATTATACGCAGCAATAACTGTATACGTACGTGTTATCACAATTACACATAGCAAATATAATGAATTCACTCACCGATCGTTGTATTTACCAGTAGTTGATACTTCCAGCTCTTCCTGAAAAAGTTAACATATATTTTATTAATTATTATTTTATTATAATTTATATTAATTGTTTATATTTTTTCCAATTTAGTTAATGCATAACTATATGCAATCAGTTAGGTACATTGTTTAAAAATTGTAATAAATATTCAATAAATATTTTTAATTATCTTAATAAATATATAATTGTAATTATGTGTTGCCGTAATTATGTACATAATATTTAAATAATGAACAAATAATTCTACTCACGATATTGCAGTTGATTTCATTCGCTGTAAATTCCACCTTTAGAATTACTTTGCATCAGCTATGCTGAAGAATAAATAAATGCCAGAAATCCATATTTGTTAGCAACGCTCACTACTGGACAAAAATCAACTCGCACACTTTTCGAAAGAATGCAAAAATTACGAACGAAATTATTTGCCCGGCCGCGGTATTCAAAACACGATCGCAAAATAAAATGCGTTTTATGCCGAGACACGCGTTCGTGCAAATAATTATAAGCTATTATTGTCACCTTACACGTTTGGCGGCCGATTCGATACTGTACATACGCTCGAGCGAGATGAGCGACAATTAGCGATCACGCAGAGGTCGTCGCATATGGCCACGCAACAACAAGAACTATATTTTACCCGATAATATTCCGACGAGCTAAATTTTCAACTTGCTACATCTCATAAAAAGTCATCGTATTTTGATCGTTTCGAACAAACATAAGTATTATTTGCACAAATTGAATGCGTTCAAATCTGTACTCACTGTGACTGTAACCTATTTCGATTTACGATATAGCAATCAACGAAATGGCATTAAACGCGAGCACTCGTGGTAAATAATACATTTTAGCAATCACTCATCTCTTTAATCAGCACTCCCGACAAACTCGCACTCGTTGTACATTTTTTATGGATAAAATGCGAGATTAATCACAAAGCATCCGCACTTTGCGTCCCGAGTCAAAATGTACGTAATAAAGACTGTCATGGCGGCTTGACTGAAGGTGGCGCACGTAGCGTCGAATATTTCGGTTTCGATATATTGATATTAAGAAATTGATATGAAGCAATCTAATTGTAAGGCGTAATCTGCAGAGGATGATACAAAGTGCAATATCCTAGAGCATGAGTAAAGTTATATGTTTATTATTCAAAAATATACATAACTGTGATAGCATACAGAATTCCATACATCTATTTCCATCACTTTTAGGAATAAAAATATTTTAAATACATTCTTACCAAAATATTAAAAAAAAAATATATTTAAAAAAATGGTTGGAAGAGAATATTTTCGTAAACGTAAAATAGTACAAAATAAACTTTGATCTTTGACTAATTACATTAATGTTAATCTTTTCATGTATACGTGTGCGCGCGCACGTATGCGACAAGCGAGCGAGCGAGAGCAAGAGACAGACAGACAGACAGACAGACAGAAAAAGAGAGAGAGAGAGAGAGAGAGAGAGAGAGAGAGAGAGAGAGGAGTAG